AGCTTCCAGATGACGAGGGACTAGGAAGAAAGGCCTGGTGATCCTTCCAGGCATCAGCCAGCAAATACCCTCAGGATCACAAGTGTGGTGCACAGCTTATCATGGGGAACAATGTCGGGGCCAGGCATTGTGTTCATCCCTTCCTGCACAGTGGGGAGGGACGCTTCCAAGGGGACAAGGTAGAAGCCTGTACCCCACCAACAAGCCAAAGCCCAGAGTACCCAGTTAAGCTCATGCTGGGGAACTCTGGGATCAGGGTGGTCTAGGGTGAAGGTGTCTGATGCGAGCACACCCTGTGGGGTCTGGCCGGGCCTCCCGGGGCAGGGAGAAAGCCTTCGCAGTATGCTGTTGACTGAGCTCCCACTGGGTCTCAGGCACTGTGTGAGGCTGAGGATGCAGCAGAGGAAGTGGACACAAGCTCTGTCCTCATGGGGATGGTGGGGTGATGCTGGTACAAAGGCCACCGTCGTGCACGCACACGGTAGAACAAGTGGGGTGACGGAGGGAGGAGACTGTGGGCCCAGAGAGGGGTGTGTGGGAAGGCCTGGCCAAATCGGAGAACGGTGTGTCTGGGACACACCTGGGGAAGAGGCAAGACCCTTGGCAAGGGCGTTGAGGCACAGTAAGGTCTGGCGGTTGGAGGGGACTGGGGGGTTGGGCGGGGAGAACTGGCTAAGAAGAGCTGGAGCAGTGATCAGGTTAGTGGGTGCCCCAGAAGGAGTGGGCCTTGACTCTGCGGGAAACGGGTGTTGCTCCGGGCTGGGAGGAGGTGTCAGGACTAGGTCTCATTCTAAGGCACCCCCTCCGGTCACTCGGTGACAGAAGAAGGGTGCAGTGTGGTGAGGGGATAAAGGGGGAGGAGTCTGGGGCCTGGTGGCAAGGGGGCATATTTGGGATCTCATGTTGACTGTGTGTGGCAGTGGGTTGAATAGGACAGTGGAGGAAATGGAGTCACCACGGTCAGACCCAGAGGGCTGGCCTGGCCGACCCGGAGCTGCGGTGCTGCCTGCTCGCACGCAGACCCAAGAGGGCTGCTGTGGGGGCAAGTGTGTGGCCCCAGCTTATGAGGGTGAGGTCCTGAGACCACCAGGGTGCTGGGCAGACCGCAGAGGAATGGCAGAGAGACCGGAGCTGGGACGTGGAAGCAGTGGAAATTCAAGCCCTGTGCAGAGGACACCTGAGAAAGCACAGATCAGAGCCTTGAAA